TAGATAAAAAGTTATAGCCATTTAAAAAATTGAAACACTTCGTGTAACTGTTGAGTATAGACTTCCTGCACCATATGAATATTCGAATTATTTGTTTAATGTATGAAAATTTAGCTAGCAATTAACGTTAAGCGAGCATCTAATCATTTTTATTCGCTTTTTATTTCTTAAATTTATTTTATTGCGGTTTGCAAAATTATGTGAAATTTGAAGATCAATAAAAAAAAAGTAATCACTAATTTTTTAAATAACAAATTTGCAATATGAAAAAAAATATTTTTTTTAAAGTTTATTAAGTCATTAAAAATTATTATACGTAAACAGATCACTTAAGAACGGTATACAAAATATTTCACCAAAAGAAATAAAATTATATGTATTGTAATAACCAAATTTTCAATATTATGCCAGATAAACTGCGATATGAAATTGCAAGTTTTGCCTTTTTTTTATCTGTTTACCATTAATTAAATAAATTTCGTTTTTTTTTTAAAAAAAAAAAAAATAGAAAATTATAAAGATTTAAGAAAAAAATACTAAAAATTAAATTATTGAAAAAAGTTATTAAACGCTGCCACCCACAGAACCCTGGCCACAAGCTTTCGTTTCAGTTGGATCTTGTGAGGGACCAATTCCAAGTCCAAGGACGTATTGATCTGGTATGTTGTCTGGTAGAGTGAATGTATGGTCAAAGTCAATCTTTGTAGTTGGGCATTTAGCCTTAGCTTCCTTGCAAATACTAAAATTTGCACTGAATACGAGGCCTGATACATCGAAAATTCCAAGACCGAGGAAATCATCATCTGTAACATCCTTCTTGGTGGTTGCTGAACCTGTAACATGGAGGGTAGAACCAGCTTTTGGAGGATCAGGTTGAATTTGTACATCGTTGATTACTGGAGTATCATCTGGAATTGGCGGCGGGCATTGACTAAATGAAGTGGCTCTTTTCTGAAGATACGGGAAAGCATTGACCATAGAACATGCGGCCAAAAAAACTAATAACAAGACAAGGTTTCGGGTCATGGTTTTTTTTTTAAAAAAAAAGTTACCAAAAAATTTTTGTTATATAGGAATTTTTTGAGTGTAATTATTAGTTTATTTAGTTTTTTAATTTTATTTGTTTTTGACTCCAGAGTAAGTGAAATTGTTGTCTTTTTATAAAGAAAAAGCGGTCACCTGATTTTTCATAAATTCGTTCTTTCAAAGTATTATTTGACAATTGATAAAAACAAAAAAGGAAAATTAGAATATTCATAAAAGTTTCGAAAAGTTTTGTATGAAAAAAAGGAGTTTTACATGATTCCCTGACAATCATTTCCCTACATCAAATTTCTACCAACGCTAATTCTAGTCAAAGACTAAAATCTGGTAGTTGAGAAAATGATTTTCTCCTACCTGTGAAAAAAGATTTTACAAAAAAAGGAATTTATAGCTGTTTTCAAAGAGGTATGAACAGACGCAAATCACCATATCACGGGAAATTCATGAAATTTCCCAGATTCCAGAAATTTCAAAGCTAGCTCTAATCGGATCTTCAATTCTTACTAATTAGAATTTCTTAATTCTTTGATTTCCCACCTAGGTATATGGGATGTTCACACCTTTTTGAAAACAATTGTAATTCATATAAGCATGCAGCTCACCACATTTAATCGAGCGTCCCCCAGAAGAAAATCTCATTACAAATTAACACATGCAACTTTTTAAAGGTAAATAGTTAATTATTTCATAATATTAAAGGATGAAACAGACTTTATATGATATTCATAAAAATCTCATGATCGCGTAAGCAGACATTTTTATAGTATCGGATTTAACTAACCAAAAAAAGAAAATACAGCAAAGTTACCGTTACACCATTTCATTTTAACCCTTAAATAATTTTTATAACGTTTTATTTGATAGCTAACAATGGTATATACTATATTTGTAACAAATTATTAATAACCGAAAAATCAGTCAACAAACGATCCAAGAAACATTTGTTTACAGCTGTTTCCAAAAAGGTGTAAGCAACGATTTCCACATACTTATGTGGGGAATCGAAGAATTGGGAAATTATCATTAATAAAAATTGAAGATCCGATTAGAGCTGGCTTTAAAGTTTCGGAAATCTGGGTAATTTCGTGAATTTCCCGTGATATAGTTACGTCTGCTCACTCCTTTTTTTGAAACCAATTATAATTTTTATGCATTCATTAGTCACTGGGATTTAATTTTTAAGGGATTTCCGATGGCACTATTTAGCTATAAGAAGAAATTTACCGAGAGCATGAAATTATTTCTTTGGTATTATTTAAGCAGTATCAAGCATTATTCTAATTTGATTAAGTCTTGAATAAAAACTTGAGTTTTATGTTTAATTCCGAAATAATTCGAAATAATTCCGAAATAATAAGGAATTCTTAAAATAAATATGAGTGCCGCTAAAAGAAAACCCGAAAATTTAAATATAAGTCATATTTAAATTTTCGGGTTTTTCTTTTAGCGACATTCATATGTATCATTTAATAGCTATATTTAATGTAATAATGTTTCATGTTTAAACCCAAAAGATTTTCAAAATAAATTTTGATAAGGAAAGTTTCAAATTAGCATCATAAAAAACTTTTATTTCATAGCAATAAAAAGAATTTTATATAGTAAAAATAGCAAAAACAAAATTCTTATACTACTTGCGATGTAAATAAATTTATACTACTTGCGATATAAATAAATTTATACTACTTGCGATATAAATAAATTTATACTACTTGTGACATAAATAAATTTATACTACTTGCGATGTAAATAAATTTATACTACTTGTGACATAAATAAATTTATACTACTTTCGACATAAATAAATTTATACTACTTGCGATATAAATAAATTTATGTTACTAGAACAAATTGAATAAGAACTTCAAATACAGTACTATACGTGAAGCGATTACATTTACCCTTAGTTGCATAAGATTCAATTGTAAAAAATGAGGTAAAATAAATGTGTATGTTCTGAATATGTTTGCAATAACTATGATCCTGATCGTTGGTAACCCGGTTGGTATAGGACCGGCAAACTTGAAGATCATATAAATAACCAGAAAATCAAAACCTGATAAAAGCAACAAAGCACATGTCAAAAGTATATTTGATACACTAACAGCAGATCATTCTCGAACAATACCGATATTCAAATTTTGCTAGTTCTTAGGCTAGGCCAAGCTACGATTGCTTACGCAGCGTGCAATAAAGGTGTTATCTAATGGTTTACTATGTTTATTTATGAAATAAGACATTATAGTATAATAAATATCTAATTACTAATTCTAAGTCGTTTGCGGTCTAAAATCTAAGTGGTTTCAGTATCAACTTAAGTTTATTTGATCCACAGATGTACAACAAAATTTATTCTATTTTCTTTATTTTCTTTATTTTCTTGTGTGAATTTTCCAATTCCTTCTATAAACTAAAGTAATCCTGAGCTCATACTACGTACAACGTACAGTACGTACAGTACGTATGTATATATGCGTATAACAGCCTCATGTTAATGCATTGTTCTAACCTGAAAAATGTTTAGATATCTAACACTATATCCCTCTTCTTATATAAATACCAACCTAACCCTAATTCTAACCTTAATTTTATTTAAACCGATTAAAACGTCAAAATCACGTGGATACATGGCTTTAGCCATTCCCTATTCAAAGTCTTAATATATTTCCTTTGATAAAATATGTTCATCTTTCGTGTAAATCTTTATTTTTAGAAGAAACGTTATAACCGCATATATATGTTGTAGGTGGAAATGGAATCTAAGTGGATTCGGAATTTATATATAAAACCTCCGTTTTGAGGTTGATTTTATCATATGTACACCCTAACCCTAATCCTAATTTAACTAGAAAATTCCGAATCCACTTAAATTCGATTCCCACTTACAACATATAAAGAATAATGATACAGAATTTCACAATCGTTCGGTAATATAGATTATTCATTATAATTAGAATATTAATAATTTTATGTTAAGATCATCAATTTTAAGATGCCACATTTTGTGGAGCTAATAAATAATTCTCCTGTGCTAGTTAGGACTGTATGAAGCTCTTCAAAAGAACTACGCAGATCAGTATGTATGGGTGATCAGAATCGTGTGTGCGGGGGTGAACTGTACAAATATAAATTTAAAAAATCGCACCATAATAATTGGCTGTAATTCCTTATTCCAATGTCTTCTACTGTATTATATAATGCAATTAATAGTAATCCAGATATATTACCTGAATGATACAATTAATAATTCTCGGGATAAATTACCCGAACGATGCAATTAATAATTCTCGGGATAAATTACCGAATGATGCAATTAATAATACCCGGGTAAAGATATTCTCAACGAATAACAATCTCTAATCATTATGGTATGAATTACAATGAATCAATATGGTATTCGGGGAACCAGATTAGTTTCAGAATTGCGCAGATTTGTATTATATTGGTAAACAGAATCATTTTACAGATCTATTATAACAGCTCCTACTCAAGTACAATACGAGTTTGGCCTTTAATATTGAATTTCTTATAGATTCTTGTAAAGCCCGATAATACATTTCAAATTAATCCATTTATTATAATAATTCAATCTCATTATGGTTGTTACATAGAATCTGTGACACTTGGTGTAATAATTGTTTGATTTAATAAGAGCTGTCACTTAAACCACTATGTAACAAATTTTGAATCTTCATTTGGGTTTTGGTCATCATATGCTCTATTTTCCACAACGTTGATTGACTATCAGCAAATACGTGTGTACATATGTACGTACGTAATTGCTGTAACTCTTGCTTTCAATTAATTGTTAGCCCACGACGGATAAACTACGCCGCAAAAACTATTTCCCAATCTTTGTAGATTTTAAAAGTTAATTATTTCGAAACTTTAGTACCGCATATTTCTTTTGCTTTCGACAACTTTCACTTCCATAGTTAAACGGTATATCTAGGGATGGGCAAATAGGCAAAATTTCAGATTTACTGCACAGGCTGCGTAGCCAGTATACATTAACGACCTCGGGATTCAGTTATTGGATTTGGACGATCTTGGACCCGTTGGAATCATCTTACTGTCTTATCGAGACGATCATTTTGATGGCAAAATCAACCAAATTGGATCACTGTATTAAGTTATTTATTGGTAAAGATAGTAAGCTACGAAAAATTCCGCCTATAATTTTGTTTCCGATTTTCTCTAGGTATACTTCTCATTGGTAAAGTTTGATCCAGAAGATCTAACAAGTATAAACTCACTGAAATTCGCGTAATATTCCAACACTAAATACTACAAATTACTTTACAAAATCTAAAGCGGAGCAGAATCACGTGACATGAGTCCAATCAAATTATGAAATTTTGATGAAGCAAAACAAGAAAGAAAAACGAAAAACAAAATGCCAGTCGAAACTACCTCGTGTGGGTTAATTAAAAATGTCGGGTAGGCAATTTTGTTTATGTATAACCACCTAAAACCCAACCTAACTCTAATATAAGATGACCCTAACCCTAAAGTTAATTCAATAAAATATGGGTGGGGTCTTTGCCTTGAAAATCACTTATGGTCGGCTAATTCGGACAAACAGACCAAAATATCGGTTTGTATTTTTAAGTGAATCACATTTTGACTTATTGATTCAATAGTTTATTTAATAAACTATCGAATCAATAAAGGTCAAAAGGTCAAACGTGATTCACATATAAATACAACCCGATATTTTGGTCTGTTTGTCCGAATTAGCCCGATCGTAAATTGTTTTTCAAGGCAAAGACCTCATATATTATAAGAATCTACCCCGCTTTAGACGTCCTCCAAAATAGTTCTGTTTTCACCATTAAAGTTTTCCTCATTATAATCAGATTTTTGTGTTATGTATTCATTGAAATAAAATCCTAGTGAAAACTTATATATAGTTCATTACTAGCCAAACAAATTACCACATAAAATTTTATATGAACTATCATTATCTGTACGTGCTATAACACTATATAACTTTATCTAGTTACTCGCATTCTGTTTATTAATTCTAAAGATACTTTTTTTAAAAAAAATCAACAACGTAAAGTTATGATGCACTGTGTTCCTCGAAATATTATGAAAAGATTTGGTAAACTGTAAATAAAGCTTTTGTTAATGACCTTGTCTTC